TGCCTATTTCTCGTTGTTCGCTTTGTGTTGCCGCAGTATTCGCCACAATATCAATTTTTTTTGCCTCCTTCCAATTTCAATTCACTTTTTTTACTTTTTAGATTATTCTCACTTTTTGCGTATTCTTTAATTTCCGTTAATTTAAATTCAGTCGAGTTTGACACTTTTCAGGATTTTGCCAGAAAAAATTCTTCTGACTAAATCTGACTACTTTGGACTGATGAGAGTCACTCTCACCGAGTGTTGCTCTCTCATTTTTGCTGTCATTTCCGAGTTAAGGAACGCTTTTTGGACTAAATCTGACTACTTCGGACTTTTTCTGACTATTTCTGGGAGATAAGGAACGCTCCTAATATGTTCTTTGCCTTAGCTGACTCGATCTGTCTTACCAGAGGATCAATTCCCGTTCTGCGTTATCGTGAAATGAAGTGAAAAGAAGAAAAATAAATGCGGTGTGAATGTGTTATTTTTATCGCTTCACGATAACGCAGAACGGGAATTGACCCTCAGAGCACCATGTAAATGAAAACTCAACACCGCAGAATTTTTCTGTAGTTGTAGATAGTAGCGCAGAAATTAGATTTTTCCGTGTCAGCTGATTTCTTCATTCTATAGATGGTTGCCACTTCGTCAGGTTTGCAGATGTGAAAAAAGTTATAATTTCCTATTCGAAGTACTGTATTAGAAGTACTGTAGTAGTGTAGTACAGTATTCGCCATACTGCGGCAACGCGAAGCGAACAACGAGAAATAGGCAGAATGTTCGAGGAATGAAGTAGAATGTTCAACAAAGAGAAACGTTAAGTTGGATGAACACTGCGAACAGCGAGAGAAAGAGAATGAGCGATGATCTTCAGAACATTCTAGAGTTGCCATGAGTGCGAGCGCAGGTATATAAGAGCCACCAGACACCGGAGTGAGTAAGTTACAAGTCAGCAAGCTAAAAGTAAAGTGAGCAGAGAAGTGAGTTGCGAACAGGGATGCCGTTTGGATCTAAATATATCCAAATGGATACATTTTTAGACGAATTTTTGCGGGATACTTATTTTTTCCGATCAGTATAAATGTGGATACTTTTTTAAATAGGCCAAAATTTTACATTTTCTATAAAGTTTTTTTCGTTAAAAACTCGATTTTCATTAATGACGTTTTTTAGATGTTTTAAAAATCGCTACTTCAGCGTGAAATTAGAGCATTTTATTTTTTGTGAACGAAGCAATAAACATATGAAGAGATCTCACCAAAGCAGTGTAAGGCGCAATTGTTTAGTTAGCTAAAAAAGATGCTTTAAGCAAGATCTAATATACACATATATAAAGTAAATATATCACTTTCATATCACACATTTTCACTTGTTAATTCTAAAAGAAAGAAGATCTCAATCTAGTTTAAATACACTGTTTAAAAAACAAAATTTGATTTATTTAAGGAAATTTTTATGAATTTTACTGAAAATACTTTAAATACACTCTAATTTTTTTTTGTTTATTTGCGCGTATTAAGGGCCAGTTTTTCAGTGCACGGCCGTGGTTTACACCAAGTTTAAACGCCCGATCTGGCTGGTCTAAACTAAGATTAGCCAATCAAATGCCAGCCAGTTGTTCAATTTAAACTTACTTTCTTAATCTAAGTTTAAACTGGCATTGAAAAACCGGCCCTAAGAGGTAACTATTTTCCTCTTTTAATGTGTGCAAATTGGCACACCGCGTAATAAAATTAAACACTGCCTGTTTACTTTAACATTCCAAATTTGTCGCAGAGAGCAAAATAACACATAAAATGTTTAAAATAGAGTAAATGTAAGCCCCTAATGTTTTTTAGTTGTAGGAAATGTATTTTTAGTTTAAAAATTTTTGCAACTTTAAACATTTCATGTGTATATTTTAAAGATCTCAAGCTCAAAATCAAATCCTGAACATTTTATACGTATGTATATTTATACAGATTCCTGTTGAAAAATAGATACTTTTCAGTAGTAGTTTTACACACACTTTTTAGAGTGTACAGGTACAAATGTAACATATTAATTACTATTTATTATAATTACTTTGCAAAATACTTATGCATAAAAAATATTATTTATAAATTGAAATGTTTGATTTTATGAAATGTAAATAATATATACACGTATTCCAAGTCCTTAGGATGGGTTAAATTATGTCTTTTTCTTGAAAATGTTTGGTTTTCTTACAAATTATGAGATGGATACGTAAAAAAAAGAAAAATGGATACATTTGGATACATTTTTGGCTTGGTCGGTGATACATTTTCTTGGGACGGCGCGGCAACACTGGTTGCGAATAAGCAAGCTATAAGTTTAATTGTGTTAACAAGTTTAGTCAGGCGTTGTTATTGCTTTAACGAGTATTGTAAAGTGTGTTTACTGTATTAGCGAGTATTGTAAATTGTTTGTATTACAATAAAGTTGGTTGTACTACAATTTGGTCATCGTTAGCATTTATTTAACAATCCAGCGATACGAACCGAAGATTTGGGAAACCCGGACATGATCCAGCTACACAAGATCTGACAAGATGAAGCAAAAGAAAACATTAATTTTCTGGCTGACGTTTGTAATTTCGGCGCCATATCATTTTCTTTGAAAAGTAAACAAAGAATATGAAGACGCATTAATAAAAAAGAAATTCAAACAATTTCGCAGTACATGTTTGTGCTAACCAAATATTATCTTGTACGTGTTTTTGCCACCAATCACCGCGCACTTAATTTTAATTACATTTGTACAAAAAATTTTTTGAAAATCGCTTAAAAATCACTGAAATAAACCACCGAGAAAATACACATAAAGAAAGAAGCAAAACAGAAATAGCAAGCTTCGAAATTACGAACGTCACACACTTTTTTCTCAATTGCTATTACAAGTGGCTGCTTCTCAACCGGTCAGATCTGTTCTAATTGGTTCATGAAATCCGGACGAGGTTTCAAGGATAATCGTAACAATTGGTGTCAGAAGTGGGATTGTTAAATAAATCCCAGAGGAGAAACTTCCGAAAATGGCAAAAATTCAGGATCTAAACATTGAGGAACTCAAGCAGGAGTTGGAGAAGCGAAATTTAGCAACCTTCGGGAGAAAAGTGGAGTTACTCTCACGGCTGCGAGAGGCTATGGAAGCAGAAGGCATCGACGTCGACAAATACGACTTCCAGGGTAAATCCGACGATGCATCCGCAAAGGACGAACAGAAGGATGAGGCTGCATATTCTACGAGGGATGTGCATCAGACATCCGGGTCTGAAGAACAGCAAAAGGCTCCTTCGTCATCAACAGCTATCGACATGAACACATTATTGGCTGTCATGTCACAGATGTCATCACAGATTTCATCCCAGCTGCAAGCGCAGGAAACACGCATGTCATCGCAGCTAGATGAAAAGATTACTCAGCTAGAGCAAAATTTATTAAAAAAAAACGCGGA